TGCCCTCCTTCTTGGCATCTGCTCAATATATACAACTAAAGAAACGTGAAGAATCTCATCCTCTTCAATTCAATTGATAGTAAGATGATTTTTGTTTCGATATGTAGCCAATCTCAGCGATGTTTTTGAAATGTCTCTCTACCGTAAGCTTGACAACTCTACAAACAAGTATTTTAAGGACCTCACATCAGAAAAAAAGGAATATGCTAAATTTGCAATATACGAGCGGAATTGACAATTTGGCCAAACATACAAGACAATCCAGCTTGGCAATTCTCCCTACTGCAAATCATTACTCTTCTTGCAATGTATCAAGGGATTATGAGTCATGAGAATTCGTAATAAAATGCAAGTGAATGATACATTTGTATGACACAGATTATTTTAGAGAAAACAAGTCAACTAGCAAATATAAAATTGCAAATCAAAGTTTGTGAATTAGTGATAGAAAATTTGACAAAAAGGAGGCAGAGCAAAATGAACCTAAGAGTAAGTAGAAGGGAAATATTTTTATTCAATACTATACGTTTGCAGCTTACACAATATATATAGCCATCAGCAATGGCACCATAATAGAAGAAAACAAAAATGAAACAGAATGCAGGGCACATGGAATACCGTAATAGAAGAAAACAAAAAAAAGCAAGAAAACATACAGCAGGAGAACGTACCAGCACTGGTACGTGGGCAATGGACAAAAGAAAAAAGAAATAAAAACGGTTACAATTAAATATATTAATTATTCTTAATACTCCCCCTCAAGATGGAAGGTACAGATTTATTGTGCCCATCTTGCTCAGTAAATTGGTGAATTGTGCAGGATGAAGGGCCTTTGTCATTAAATCTACCAGTTGATTTCGAGTGGATATGTGCATCGTCTTCACGGTACCATCTTGAATCTTCTCACGAACAAAATGACAATCAAGTTTAATGTGTTTTGTTCTTTCATGATACATTGGATTTGAAGCAATATGTAAAGCGGCTTGATTATCACAGTAAAGTAATGCAAGGCCTTGGTGTTGAACTTTTAAGTCACGCAACAGCTTCAGAGTCCAAACGATTTCGCAAGTAATGTTGGCCATGGAGCGATATTCGGCTTCGGCAGATGACCGAGAAACGACTTGTTGTTTCTTTGATTTCCATGAGACTAATGAAGACCCAAGGAAAACACAAAAATCAGTGAGGGATCTTCTAGTATCCGGACATGTACCCCAATCAGCATCAGAAAAGGCCTTAATCTGAATGGCAGATGATGAAGGAAAGAAAAGACCTTGTCCAGGGGTTCTCTTGATGTACTGGAGAATCTGTAAGGCGGCTTGGAGGTGACTGGTTCTAGGAGCAGCCAGAAATTAACTCAATCTATGGACAGAGTAGCATATGTCAGGGCGAGAGATGGTTAAATACAACAGTTTTCCAATTAGTCATCGATAGCTGGTGATATCACTCAAGAGCTTGCCATCATCTTTAGATATTTTGATATTAGGATCCATAGGAATAGATGAGGGTTTACAACCAAGATATCCAGTCTCAGTTAAGAGATCCAATGCATATTTTCTTTGGCACAAGGTGATTCCTGTGTCATTTCTTGCAATTTCAAGTACAAGAAAATATCGAAGAGTTCCCAAATCTTTCATTTTAAATTTTTGTTTGAGTGTACATTTGAGTTCTTCGACAGCCTGATCGTCATTACTGGCAATAACAATGTCATCGACATACACCAACAATGCTAGGAAGGTTTTACCTTGTTGTCTGACAAATAGGGAATGGTCACATTGTGACTGATAGAAGCCTTCTTGAAGTAATGTTCGTGAAAACTTATGAAACCACTGTCGGGAAGCTTGTTTCAACCCATAGATTGACTTGTGGAGGCGGCAAACAGGTTTATGTGAAAAATCTCCCCCTTCTCGAGGAGAATAGCCTAGAGGAATAGTCATATAAACTTCTTCGTGAAGGTCACCATGTAGAAAGGCGTTGGTGACGTCCAATTGAGTCAGGCGCCAACCATGGATAGCAGCAAGTGAAAGCAAAATCTTGACAGTAACCAATTTGGTAACAGGAGAAAAGGTGTCAAGAAAATCGATGCCAAATTGTTGTGTGTAGCCCTTAGCAACCAGACGGGCTTTGTATCTTTCTATGGTCCCATCAGCTTGATATTTAATTTTGTAAACCCACTTGCAGTCAATTGGTTTCTTCCCAGGAGGGAGGGAAACAATGGACCAAGTGTTATTGTCCTCTAAGGCACGCAACTCCACATTTATAGCATTCATCCAAACATCGGACTGGTTAGCTTCATGAAAGTTGGTAGGCTCAGTGTGGGAGGAAATGGCGCAAATAAAGTTGTGATATTGGGAGATAAGTTTGGTATGAGTAAGGAATGAAGAAATAGGATAGAGTGCACGGGTATCTGTATGGTAGCAGTGATAGTCAGACAAATAAGAGGGTGGTCGTGTTATACATAGTGGGTGAGATGAGCGTGTTTAGGAGGATTCACGTTGTGAGCAAAGAGGTGTATCAAGACAATCTGAGGATTGTGTAGATGTATGGAGAGGAACCGGTAAAACACGATCGTGAAAGAAATCATTGTGAATGGGATCAGATAATTGAGAGGAAAGAAACGGGAAGATATGTTCATGAAAAATGACGTTACGTGAGATAAAAATTTGGTTGCTCTCGATGTCGAAAAGTTTATATCCTTTGTAGCCCGAAGGATAACCGAGGAAGATACAAGCCTTGGAACGAGGTAAAAATTTGTGGCGATGACTATCAAGAGTTGAGCAGTAATATAGACAACCAAAGGTACGCAAGTGATCATAGGAAAGTTTTTTTTTGAGTTAACAGTTTGAATGGAGTTTTATTTGATAACAAGGTGGACAGTGTACGGTTAATTAGGTAAACAGCGGTCAAGATGCAATCGCCCCAATACACAAGGGGAATATGGGATTGAAACAGCAAAGCACGAGCTACATTTAAAATGTGTTGATGTTTACGTTCAACGACAGAGTTTTGTTGGGGAGTCTCAACACAAGAATGGTAAGAAACAATGCCCTTCGATTTGAAAAAAGAATGAAAATTCAGCTCGTGCGCATTGTCAGATCGCACAGATTTAATAGAAATATTATATTGTATAAGTATAAGAGTATAAAATTTAGGGAGAATAGTAAGAACGTCAGACTTTTGACGAATGAGATACACCCAAGTAGTTCTAGTGCAATCATCAACTATTGTGAGAAAATATTTGTACCCTTCGACAGTGGGTGGACAGAAGGGTCCCCAAATGTCAATGTAGATTAGATCAAATGGATTATAAGATAATCTATTGTTAGAAATGAAAGATAATTTACGTTGTTTAGCTAAATGAAAAATCTTACAATGAGAAATATTCGAAGTTTGTAAGGAGTCATTAATATACTGAAGTTTTACATTGGAAGGATGACCCAATCTAAAGTGTCATAGGCTACTTTTAGAGTGAGTGGAAACATGATGAACAGCAGGAAAAGGAAAACATCTGGTAGTTAAGTAGTAGAGGTTACCAATGCGTCTACCCTTCCCAATCAACAAGTCCCGAGTGCGATCCTGAATGACACAAGAATGAAGAGAAAAATCAATTGTACAGTTATGGGTGGTGGTCAACATGCTGACACTGACAAGGTTAAAAGAAAAGTGAGGGACAAAGAGAACATCATGTAGAGTTAGGGTGTCGATGAGTGGTGTACTTCCAACTTGATTGACTATCACTGAACTACCATTTGGTAAAGTGACTGGAATGGGATGCACAGTTTTAAGGTGTGTGAAAAA